CGGGTTTTTCTCTTCCCCTTTTCTTATCTAACTTTGTCGTAGATATTCTCGTAGAGATTGAGCTCTCGTTTGCTTTTTTTCAGGATCTTATCTGGCAGGAGATCAACTTGTTGACCTACGATATGTAGACACAAGTGTTCTGTTTGGTAAAGATGCTGGCAAAATGCAGTCTTCTGACCCCGTTAAGCAACTATGCAAGCATGGTTGGGGTGCGTTTCTCTCCATATAAATGCAAATTGTTGCTTCAGGACTGATCCGCGTCAGCATTTGAACTAATGATAGAGAGACAGTTGTGCATGTTGATCATTTAATTTATCTTGGAAGTGTGATCAGTCTTGATAGCCTAGTGTCTGACGAAATCTCGGCATGTATTCAGTAAGCTCGTTTGGCGTTTACTGGTTTGCGTTACTTGTGATATGTTCGTCTATCAAGCAGTGTGTGCTGCTCAGCAGTTCCTTCTCTTCTGCTTTACAGATATCAAACACGGCCATCAAGAGATGAGGATATTCATTGGTTACTCGTATTCGATCATAGATGGTTTCGAAGCCTTGTTCACATATTGTGAAAGTAACGACTGAGCGCTGTCTAAGCGCAAATTGGTTCATGAGGTAAAGAATCTTCATCTATAGAGATGGTTAGAACATGCATTACGCATGCTCTTCCACTGACTAATTCGAAGCCTGATGGTAGGTGTAAAGATAAGTTGGAAGAAAGCTGGGAAGGGGTATCAGACCGAAATATGACATCAGTCTATAAAGACACTGATTTTTGACCTAAGTCATTCAGGTAGTTGTAGACTGTCTGGTTAAGGTCTGGATAATCATCTTATTTATTTGTTGGTAACATTGGTTGATATGGTCCAGAATCTTTCCCAGTGACTCAAGTGAATTCACTCTTTGCCTTCTCTTTAATCTTTAGTCCTGAAATCGTATGCCTTTTTACTCTTACATTCAGAAGGAACATTGAAGTAGGTCCCCCAACTCTAGCAGAAGTTCAAAAGGCTATAGTTAATCTGAAACGAGGAAGGGCAGCTGGTCCAGATGGATTGGCTCCAGAAGTCTTTAAGGATGGTGGTCCAATTTTAGCGATTGGGTTGGCTAATATTTTAGTTAAGATCTGGGAATTAGACGTTATTCTATCTGACTGCTCACAATCACTTATCGTCCCAATATACAAGAGAGGGTTAAAATCATCTTGTGACAACCACAGAGGGATTAGTTTAACTAATATAATATCTAAAATACTAGCCTCAATAATAATCAGACGCTTAACTAAGACTCGTGAACTGCAAACACGAGAGAACCAAGCTGGCTTCAGACCTGGTCGTGGCTGCATCGACCACATATTCGCCATTCGTCAGGTTCTAGAACACAGGCATACTTATCGGCGTCCGACAATGGTGGTCTTTCTTGACTTAAAAGCAGCATTTGACTCTGTAGACCGAGAGATTCTGTGGCAGTGTCTGTCATTGAAAGGCGTACCCCAGAAGTACATAAACCTTGTGAAGGCTCTTTACTCGAACACTACTAGTCGAGTCAGAGCTTATGGCGAACTGTCACCTAGTTTTGCAACCTCAAGTGGTGTCCGTCAAGGCTGTCCACTTTCTCCATTTTTGTTTAACTTCATCATAGACCTACTGATGGAAATAACATTCTCGTCGACTGGATTCTCGGGTATTGACCTCCTTCCACTTATCGACTTAGAATACGCAGATGACATAGTCTTGTTTGGTGAAGACGCTGATAGAATGCAGTCTTTTGGTAGCACTAAGCAACAATGCCAGAATGTTTGGAATGCGCTTCTCTCCCTCTAAATGCAAGTTGTTGCTTCAGGACTGGCCTGTGTCAACACCTGAACTAAGGATAGAGTGAAGTAGTCGAACGCGTTGACAACTTGACTTATCTTGGAAGTCTGATTAGCCCTAATGGGTTGGTGTCTGACGAAATCTCAGCTCGGATTCGGAAGGCTCGCTTGGCTTTTGCCAAATTACGTCACCTTTGGCGAAGGCGAGATATCCGTCTATCAATAAAAGGACGAGTATACTGCGCGGCAGTCCGTTCTGTTTTAATTTACGGCAGCGAAACATGGCCTTTAAGAGTAGAAGACACCCGTAAGCTACTAGTATTTGACAACAGATGCCTTCGAAATATTGCTGGCGTCTGCTGGGATCACCGGGTAAGTAATAGTGAGGTTAAACGCAGGGTATTAGGTAATGACGGTAAATCAGTTGATGAGGTTGTGAATCTTCATCGACTGAGATGGTTGTGCCACGTTACGTATGCCGGAACACCGATTACCACGACGTGCAATGCTAACGTGTGTTAGAGATGGCTGGAAGAAAGTTAGGGGCGGCCAAACCAAAACGTGGCATCAGTGCTTGAAGTTACTAACTTCTAGTCCTAGCCATGTTGGTAGATGCAAACTACTTGATTGGGGTCCGCGTGACTATCGTAACCAATGGTTGGAGACTCTTGGTGACATGGCTCGGAATCGATCACAATGGCGTCGGTGTATACACTCTCTGTCTTCCCTTAAACTAAGAGATTAAAATCGCTTCATATCTTTCTTTCTACAAACTAATTCTATATTACGGTACTGTATCCTTATTGCAATCTTTCTTTTTTATATTGCCACAACTGAATTAACTACTTTTATGAATCCGGTGTTGATCTTGTTGTGTTAACGAGGTATGGCAACTTAGACCGATGCATATATGTGCCTGGTCCTACGTTGTAGCTGACTGACTTAAATTCAATCCTTTCTGTTAATACTGTTACCACTCCTACTTCTCTAAGATTTGTTTTTACATTTACAGCTTGCTGCGCTGATGTGACGTGACAAGTAAACTGCTGCATATATGTGCCAGGTTTTACGTAGCGTATAAATAACTGACTAATTATGTTATTTTCATTCAATGCTTAACATTTTTGATGAAACTTTTATTTATTTGGTAATGATTCGGTCTTTTTCTTTTTCTATGTGCATGACTACTAAAAATACAATTGTAAAGCTTTAATAAATGACTTCATCAAAAAGAGGATTCTCTTTGTTAAACTATTTCCTTCGAAAATAGGATGCTGTTGTTACACAGCTGACTTACTTAACCAAACTATCTTTAAGCCGTGTTGTTTTTCTACCTTTCCAATGTCATATAGTGAAACCATGCCTACTGCATATTTATTAATCTGTAGTCAGAAATAGCCGCATACATTGGATGTATACGTCAATAATCATCTTAGTTAACATTATTGTGCAATCAGTTTAAAACCATACTCATTTTGATTTCCAATTGCTTTTTTAGGAAATACTTTTGTAATGTTATCTTCCATCAAGTGGTTGGTTTTGATTATCTTTCCAGAAATCATTCACGCAGATAAGAAAAAAAGTTTTTCCACTTATTCCCAGAAATACCATAAAGGCTTCATGATTAATTCGCCAAACTTATGTGAAATCGCCTGTAAATTCTTTTCTGAGCCGCAAATTTTCGCCATTGTCACATAAAGATTAGATAAAACGAATAAAATTATATAGGGAAACGGATCATTTAATCTGTTTTAATTCATATAACGTGGTATCCTCTAATTTTATCGGCTGATATCTAAAAATGTCCTTTTTCATTTTCCTAAAAATTCATCTGTTTTATTCTCCATGCAAGAGTCGGGTTAATAAGGTGGACACTATTTGATTATCATCCTCCCTATTTTCTTTCACTGGAACCTGATTATTCAAATCTTATGGACGCTTAATGGTTTTTATTTAATGTTGAGATTTGTAATTTTGCATTTGTATCTTACTTGATGTTGGGGATGCTAAATCCCCAGAACTCACTTGGTAAATGTCTTATTTTCGTAATTTTATTTTTGAAATTTGAATTTCTTGTTTTCACACCAAAAGTCCCTATTTTCACCTTCATATCGTATTTCCCACTTGTCAGGATCTTGGATGTCATTGGTTCGTTGTCTCTTTTAGTATGCTATTTTGCAACATTTCCAAAGGACATTTTAATACTGTATATATACACTTAACTTGTTGTTGTTGTTCGTTCTTCTGGCTGCTTGTGGAATACATTTTCCCTCTTCTGAACTTGGACTTCTCTTTCTAGTTAGCGGGACTGAGACGCATCGGAATAGTTAGCTGGTCATTGTGTCGCCGAGTCTTCGTTTCGTTCTCTGATTCAGGTGAACAAGTAATGTTTTCTAATATAACACTTGGTAAAAGTGGTTTCAGTCGTTCCAACAGCTCGGGTAAGGAGAAATTCTAAATAACCAAACACTATCGATCCATGATAACAATAAATGATATTGAACGCATGTCCTGTAAAAGACAAAATATTATTGTGTAATTTCTTCAAGATCCATGCTCTCACCAAGTTAATAGAAACCTTATAATTTGAGCGTGTATTATACATACAAGCTGTAGGAAGAAGTAAAATGAATCTAAGTCGTTAGACATTTATAGTGAAACCTCGGACTGACCAATAATGAAGCTTAAAAGGTATCAATATGGGAAATAAGTAGCTAGATGAAAGTGCTGTTGTTATTTATTATTATTATTGTTATTATTATTATTATTATTATTATTATTATTATTATTATTATTATTATTATTATTATTAGCCATATTGACGTAATGAAATGCTCAAGGTATAGTGATTTCCGAATCATCCCAGCAAAATAAATTTGAACATTGTTTATGTGTAAATCAAATGACTAGATATGTAGTCCAGGTAAAATTATAGTATTTCAACTCGTTTTAAAAAAAAAATAAAAATGATATGCTTTTTTTAAATTCAGGTTTGCCTTAGCAATCGCCTTTAAACAATTTCGACATATATGTCTCAAATAACCTTATAAATCGTTTGTGGTTAATTCATTTACTGAATTTATTATGAGACTTGTAAATAATTCATTAAATCCACTAGCCAAACCTTTTTTTAAAGTAATCTGCAGTTTATAAATTATCCTTCTTATAAATACAAGGAATAGATTTATAGAAAATACATTTTTTATTCTTTCTTGAATTTGTAAGATTGTCAGGAGTAGATTTAATTCTATTGATTCCTCCACAAAATCAGCAATTTCCCTTGTAATTTTATTATTTAATAACCTTTCTGTCTTCGTCTTAACATTACAGCGGTCTGATAATTCACATCCATATGAAATGCAGCTTCTTTGACACTATATCCGTCTTCAATAACTTTTTTATGTGGCATTGTCTCTTTTTACTTGAAATTAAATAGTTATTTTCTATTCATCTCTGGCATGTAAGGATTATGAAAATTTTTCAAGAAACTCTGGTTATTTCAAAAATCGCAGAAAATTTTAAAAATATTTTTGGTTATTTGAAATTTTAAAAAGACGAGTTGAAATACTATAGAAGAATTCAGCAACTATTTGCATAGAAACAATGTATGCTGGAAAATCAGTTTAATGTGAGTTTTTTTTAAAGATATTAAAACTTATTAGTTTGAAGTTGGCAGGTTCATTCTCATTAGATAGGTTTATCGTAATTATTTTGCGTGAAATCAAGTTATCATTGCAATTAACAACATTTGACCATTTAATTGTCATTCATTTTATGAATATAAGTCAATGCTTTAACGTCCCCTTACTCCTGTTTACTCTCGTGGGGCATAAGTCGCTGACCAGAGATCTCTAATTTACTCTGTTCTCAGCTATTCTTTCCAGTTGTCCTGAAGTTCCATCCATTGTTTTTATGTCTGCCTCAAGTTTTCGGCACAATGTGCTCTTCGATATGCCTCTACCTGAATCAATTTTAGGGTTACTGCCGGTCTGAAGCCCGATGAATTATAAGAGTTGCGTATTAGGTTAGCAACCTCATCCCTTAGAAGAGAATCTTTCTGAAAAACACTAATGTTCCCAACTATTATGTAAATGTTTTGTAATTCAATGTAATTAATATTACTAAGGTTTAGCAGAAATTAGGTACCAACTATATAAAAAACATAAGTGTGGAAATTATACTTGAAACAGCTTCTTTGATTGAAATTTAAGTTTTTCTAATTTTTTTCTCTCGCCAATCCAGTGCTTCCTTGAGAAAATCATTAAGTTTATGATAGACTTTTCTTCAAACATATTCGAAATTTGTTTTTATGTGCATTAAGAATTTGAACCTTGAAAACAATCTGACGTATGAGGATGTGTCTGCAGCTGTATGTTGTAAGCTAACTAACAGAATATGTAAGCCTGTGAAAGTATGTACTGTCAGAAAATAATTGGATAGTGTGCTTTGATATTAATTAAAAGTAACAATCGAAGTAAGCATTTTTCTCTTGTTCAACAAGTTCATCTAATCAATTTCGTCTCACATTTACATGCAACCAACATTTGAACGTATTTGGACGTGTGTTTAGTATAGACCGAGTGGAATGCTAGAATTATTCAGATTCTTTTCACTGGCATTATTTTACATATAAGCTTCATACCAAATATCACTGAAGATCAGAAAACATATTCTCGTAGAATCAGAATATATATTAACCTGAAAATTTTAGAATTAGTGTAATTATAATCGCTAAAAAGTTCCGAATATCCGTAAAATTGTTTATCAGCATCATTATACTTTTAAAGTTATCATAATCCCTTTGTTGTATTAACGGTTTAGAGTTCATGTATGTAAAGATTTGAAACTATTTAAAATCAACTAGTGAATGCAAACAATACATTTACACTGTAGGAAATCTTACTGTGTAAATATGCCATATATTTTTTTACTTAAAGAATCGTAATAATAACGCTAATAAGAGTAGCCGTTGAAAATAGATAGCAGTGGCTTGTTGTTGGATTGCATTTGTTATATTGATTACCTTCTAATTAAGCAAATTAAGTGGCTCACACTACAAGTCCAACTTTCTTAAAAACACTTTTTAACCTATATAACTTGGCATCACTCTTGACCTAAATACGCTTTTACGTATCTTTAATTATTCATGAATAATATAGGGGTAACGAGCACAACAAACACTTGATATGTTTTAGAAGAAAGATTACAATTTTTTTGTAGTGTATATCACGAATGGACTTTAATTAAACAACCATAAAAAACTAGGAAACATTGAACATTTGTTTCTTCCTATTATCAATGTGCATCCACAACCATACCGCTGATCAGATCCTAAATCTCCCTCACTCGTTTTCTTTCTCTAATTTGTATCCATAAAATCGATAATAACAAAAGCTGAAACTTTGGAAAACGATAAAGATCTGATACGGTCCTTCTGATATTACTTACTTACACCTATTACTCCCAACGGAGCATAGGCCGCCGACCAGTATTCCACAATCCGATCTGTCCTGGGCCTTCCGATATATATATATATATATATATATATATATATATATATATATATATATATGAGACAGCTTTGCATGAATTATTGAATCCTATGCTTGAATATCTCTACATAAGTTCACAAACCAGAACAAAATTTCTATTTATTTTTAAAATCAGTATTGTAGTAAATGTATGCAAAGATACGAACCCATTTTCTGTGTCTTAAAGATGAACTTTGTGGTTATTTTTCATCGCTTGTTGTTAATAAAAATAATTTATGTAATTTGATGATTTATTCAGTATGGGAATGCATGTTGCTGGTCTATACATCTTTTGTGTACAATGAAGTGAGAATATCACTATGTGTTTGTTGTTGTTTTCTTTTTTTTTCTCATGTTACATTGTACTATAGCCTAACTGATCGATTTCTACATGGATGTTTGTTTTAGTGATTGAATTAACTATAACTTAAAGAAAATAGTTACGTTTCGAAATAATAATATACTGTATTGTAGTGAATCGATTAATTATGTATTGTAGTGTTTTTGTTTGAAGAAAACCATTATGCTATTAAAGTTGGTCAAGTGTTTGAAAATAATTATATGAAAGGCTTTTTAAACATACGTTTATAAGTGGACATTCTTTTTGGTATACTTTTATGTATAAACTCTCGTGTAACAGAATTATTTCAGTGTCTGTATGTAGCCGACAGGAAGTATTCACTGGAGCGGGTGGAAAATGCTGCAGTGTAGTCAAACGAATACATAATACGATCACTCAGATCATTGGCTATTTTTTTATAATAATAACGTGCATTTGATATATTTTTGATGGAGTTTTATTGACTAAATCATGTAATGGTTCGAAGGTATCAATACCAAAGTTGGACTTCATAGTTCGAACCTGTCCATTTTATTCCGTGCTTCCGCTCAAATAAGGAGTTCTTCATAATCCAGTCAATCGCCCGAGGAAAGAGAAAGGAGGATAGTAGGCAACCTTGCCTGACATCGGTCTTTACATCGAACGAGTCTGTGAGCTGTCCTCCATGCACAATTTTTCAGTTTAATCCATCATAGGAATTCCGTATGATGTTGACTATTTTCTCGTACACGCCGTAGTGACGAAGAAGCCAGAAAAAATATATTACATTTAGGTGTTTTTCTTAGGGGGCCACCCCACGAGCCTTCGAACTAGAGGTCTAATTCACAAGACAGTTAAGCAACGTAAGGACTTGCAGTCCCATATTAGCTGGAGGCCAACCATTGGTTCATACGCCATTTGTGCCCTCAGGATCCTCGAGCCCATGTCCACCATTGGTTTGGATTCAGGGTTTTTCAACTCGCCTCCGTGTCCACCAACCCGGTTAAAGCTCCGGACATTCACTTTTCATCCTTTCAATTTCGTAAATAACATCCGACTGGTTTCATCTCATGCTTAATATTAATATCTCTTTCTATTGTGAAGCGATTTAATGAACTACAGATAGTTGTCATAATTTTTATTAATCCATCTAACTTGACTTGCTTTCACCCGTGTTGTCATCACTCATCGTATGTGTATTTTATCTGCACAAATGTTTAGGTCTTCTGAGTTTGCGAAAAGAGCAGGTCTTGATGGCGTCGCGTATATATTGGCCATGCGTTTTCGTGTTTTCCAGTTATTTGCACTCACTCCAATCTTCGTTATTTGCACTCCATTGTTTTTTTTCTCTCAAGAATCAGGTAAATCAATCATTTCTTAGATGGTAAATGTTTCATACAAACCAAAAGTCTAAGCATTTCTATTCTATATCATTTTTTTTTCTGGTTAGTGTTTTCTAGTTAGTTTTCTACGGGATAGGGTCGCTAACACCATGCTGAACCCTCCTCCTTTATCCGGGCTTGGTGCCGCCAGTAACCCCAGAGGGGCCCCAGGCGGAGTTATTCTATATAATGCTTGCTATGTATATATAGCCGATGTGTTTGATTGCTAGACTCAGTTTAGTCAACTTATGTTATGGTTTCTGACACAAATATAATACTATGTACGCTTTTTAATGCCACTTTTCTTGCTATCGGTGGATTGAATAAAGGTTTATTAATTCGAAACTATTTTCGGAAAAATAACCATAAGGTTTTTATATTTATCAATTACATACATACATATTTATGCTTGATATAAGTTTGCATCAATTTTTTAAATTTTTTTACAGAGAATGAATTTCGACGGATCACAATAGCTAATCTTGGAATAACAGATGTGTAAGTAACCTTTACTGATTATTTACGCTCTAGTTTGTTCATTAGAAAGTGTGGTTGTATATAAATGGTGAAATTTGGAACGATCCTTATATGAATATATAGTTTTTTGGTTCATGCGACGTTCTTTTTTAAAGCGATTTCCGTTACTGCTTTGATCTTAGTTGCAGTAAGATTATACATAATGTTGTCAGTTAATATCGTGGTACGAGTGAATATTTGTTTTAGTTATATGATGTATTCACATCTAGTCACAATACTAAACTGTTAGTAAGTGTTGGTATATATATCTGTTACGATAAGTCAGTCATGTGACGTGATCGCATATCATGGTGCTTAGAGTAACATTTAAATAAGTGTTTTAACTGTTCATTTGAGTATACTATGATCTCCAAAGCGATTTCCATCACAAACTACTGTCAGCAGAAGCTGATAAAATGCAGAGTTTTTTGGTAGCACTGAGCAACAATCCCAGGTTGCTTGAAATGCGCTTCTCCCCCTTTAAATACAAATTGTTGTGATGGTGGAGAAAATTTGTAGCTCAAGTGGATGATTTTGGTGGCGTTTTGTTCTCTGAGCTGGATGGTTTGGTCCATCCAGCTCAGAGAACAAAGCGCCACCAAAAACAAATTGTTGTTTCAGGACTGGTTTGTGTCAACGCTCGATTCACTAACCCATTGCTCCACTAAACTGTAACTACAGCTCTACAAACCTGATCATTTTATTTGTGTAGTAGTTAACATATTGAAAAATCTATTCTGAAATTTCATGCCTATTTAGTATTGTTTTAAGTTTTCACACTATGGAACCTTCCTATGTGCCACGTGTTACCAATTCATAAACTCTTTCAATTTCCGCCCTGTTTTCTCATTGATCACTTTTAATTGATTTTCATTCTTTAAATACTTTTTATTAAATTTCTGTAAACTCAAATCATAGATAGTTTTTTCTTTATTGTGTAAGTCAAAACAAGTTAGTATTAGAAACGCAGAATATTACTTTTCACCTTAATTCTACTCAAATTTTAATTTAATGTATATAACTGTAAATATAAGTATTAAACAAGAGATTACTTATAAGTTAATGAACATAAAATATTGATTATGGACCTGTGTTCATAATACTAATAATAATGATAATAACATTTCAGTAATTGTTATATTAATGATCATTCGAGTAATGATGACAGTAACACACAGAAAATGATACATTTCAACATATTTAGTAATTAAAAAAAGCTATGTAACACTTTAAAATGATGTATATATAAATAAGCCCCATTTCAGTACATGTGTGTTAGATAAGAAGAAAAAAAAATGAACAGAGGGCAAAAAAAAATGGAATGATGAAAATTGATTAGCTTATTTTCGTGAACTATTTCATAATTGCTAATTGATCAACGTGACAGTTTTCAAATTATATTTTTTTGATAGTTGTTACCAATTCGAGTACTTTACTTAGATTTCACTGTCTTAACAACATTGTGAATGTATTCAGAGGCTAAGGAATAATACAAACCGTGTTATACAAACGAACTAGATAAGAGATAAAATAATTAATTTTGACAGATTAAAGAAATTTTGACAAAATATATTCGATGTTTGATTTCATAAAGTTTTTAAAACGTATGCAGAATACAAAAATAAGAAAACAACGCCCTGTGGTAGTTGAATAATTCAATGTGGTGTTCATGGAGTGATCTAAGTTAGACTGCCATTAATAACCTGGCAGCATTGGAAGACCGTTTTTTTTCTAGTATGGGACCCGGCAGTTCGGATTCACCATCGCACATGCGGAAGCCGGAAACAATCCATTTTAGTCTATTGTACATAGGCTTAACCACTAGACCGCTTAACTGGCATCCCACAGTGTTAATGTCTAACCTTAATCAATATGGTTTCTAAAAGGGGTCACAGTAACCCAATACCTAACTTCATTGTATGTCGTTTAATTAATAGTGGCTAAACGTTGAACAAAAACAAACATTTAAAACTTTTCACTGTATTTCATCACATCTTTTTATTACTCACTAAACACATTTTATACTTTAGTGAAGCTTTGTATTGTTGGTGTGACACTTCTGGTTTATATATTAGCATTTGAATTTAACTAAATAACTTGATTCAATTTCTCAGTATTATATAACTACTAATGATTATGTGTAACTTGGATTTATCCTTATGGTACTTTACCATGAGAATAACAATCCTCGTTAGCTTTGTCGATTAGTGACATTGTATTAGAATAAAATTCTTTAGATTACTGAATCGCAGTTAGTCTCTCTTTTTCTCTTAACAATATTTCGAAACGAATTAGTGGCAGTACATTGAACTCCAAATGACTGCCGAAATAATCCAAAAAACATTTTTGCTTTTTATCGAATGATCGCTTGTTTAATGCCATTTTTTGTCTAAACAAGCTGGTTTTCTTAAGAATCACCGGAAGCAGTAGACAACAGTTTACGCCTAAAATTACCAGTACAAAAACACCCATTTATTATGTCGTTTTTGCTATTTTTGAGTTCTCTATGCTACATGGTCTAATAGCGATGTTTTGATGGTCATTCAGGACATTATCAGCGCCTACCTGAGACATTCATCTTAAATACTGATCTCTATTTGTTCAGTAACATTCAGTTGTGGTCACACTACATAATACTTCTAACTGAGGATGAGTGGCGACTGAACATAATATATGAACTTTGGTTTCCTTTATTTTACAATCATATTGATTCAGTCTAAGCCAAGGTTTGAATGAACGATCTAACAACGACTTATCAGTTTACTACTGTTTCATACTAATTATATTACTCGTGTATCCAATGGTTTTTTCACGAACGGTTGTCAGATTCATGCGATGTTTGTTTTTTTGTATTTGGCAACAATAAATTCTTCCCCTCTTAAGAACCGAAATCGTCAAATATTAAGATCACAGGACAATCATCTAACGAAATCAGGAATGATAATGCACTTCAAAATACCATAGCTTTTGATACACATTAGTTTGTAAAAACGTTTAATAACACTTACTGTTGACTTTTTCGGCGTCACTTCATGCTACGTAAATCAGATCAATCTATTTCCAACCTTTTATCAAGATTGAACCTGAAGTGAAGTCGACCTTAAGATGTATACCCGAAATCCTTTAAATTTCGGTAATGATATATTTTTGGCACAGACAGTGTTCAGATAAATTCCTGCCATAAAAAGTGTACACACAACACCGCAAATCTCCACTTATCATTATTTACGTGAATGTCTAGTTAATATTGAATTTATTTCATATTAACAACAATAAAGAAGTATTACAGTAGGCGGAGAGGTGAAGTTTGCAAAATTCTTTGTCAATCAATAGATTATGTAAACCGGTAAGTGATAAATTTGGATAATCCAATGAGAACAGGTTATCAGAAAGTCATAGATTATTTCCATAAGTTACTAGTGTAATCTATTTTTGGTACGTAGTGTCTGACAAAAAAATTTATATATTTCTGCAAAAACTCAACATTAATTAATATATAGTATCACGGAATTTCTATACAGCTTAAAAATTTAGCAATTAAGTCATTATTGCATTCTTTCTCACTCTAAAATTAAATCATTGTTTTACTTATCTAGCATTCATTTGATTCTTTTCAATTTTCCTCTTCATTTCATTAGTTCAAGAGGATGGATATTATACACCATTATTATCATATGTATAATATTATATTTTATGGTGACTGGATTATGCTTAACCGAAGCATACATCTGGCCAAGAAAATTGAAAATATGTAATAGTTGGAAAACATTACCTTTGAATAATGATAATAACAATAATAGTGGCAGTAGTGATGAACACCAAAAACCTAATTCATCGTTGACTAACGGTGGTAGAGAACAAATTAGTCAAGGGGAACAAAAAGCCATAAATATCTCGCATAGTGATGATGATAATGACGATGATTGTGAATGTGATCGTATTAATGAGGTAGGTAAACATAGTAATTTGTAATTATGAAATTTGATTTTTAAGGTATCTTGTTTTTCGAAACTCATGTCCATTGAGTTGATTATCTATTAAGTACTACTGCTTTTACTGTAGTGAACGAATGCTCAGGTACAGTAATCCAATTTATTATTTTATGCAAAATCACACAATGCCCCTGTAAAATATGAAAATCATATACTGAATATATCACTTGCACATTTTCCTTGTGTTTTCTTTTGCCTCATCATCATCCTGATTCTGTTATTATTCCGATTGTTCTCTGTTTTCCTTACTCTTCTATTTATTTCACTTTTCTGCTAATAAGCATCCCACTTCCAATTCCTGCCATATACTACTTATATCCGTCCATATAAGTAGCGCACACCAAACATTATTATTATTACTACCAAAAATAATAGTATTTGTGTTCAGAATCCATTGTTTATATTATTATATTACAACTCAAAATACAAACATGGACCGATAAACTATATCTTTCTCATCGTATGACCACTGTTTTGTTCATTCAACTGGAGCATTTAAACATTCTTATAATTTTGTCTTATTGACCGTACAGTGTTTGGATCTCCATACTTTTAAGTTATCCGCAAACATCACAACAGATAATTTGGAAACTTTTGGTAGGTCGTTTACATAAAGTAAAAGAAATTAAAATAGACAATATGGCCAAGTGAATTCGATTATAGCTAGTTTGTCCTTTCTCTTATATGCTATTAATCTAGTATTCTAGATAGCGATTCATTGTCATTGGTTAAAGACTTGTTTAAAAAACAATCATGGTGTATTTATGGTATGAAGTTAAATCTTGGCATTTAAAAGCCAAAGATTAATCCAATCAGATGACTATGTTCAATTATACTTGAAATGCGCCAGTTGTATACCTCACTTTTTTCGGAACAAAAAAACGGTACATGCGTATCTAAAGAGTTTCAGTCAATCGGAGCATGAGGGGGCTTTCTAGAATATTGACGTGGCATGCTACTATTGGTCAGTAACATAATATGTCTCTTAGCGGACTGGCCAAAATATAATGTTGATTTGACAAATGCTAATAATCTATAAATACCCGTGTTTTTCTGTACAAGAATGAACCTTTGGATTAAAGTGCTTTTCGCTTAATTTGCGCCTTTTCTCTCGTGTTCAGGTCTCTGCGTAGTTCTAGCTTGCGGGTTAACAGAATAGCTTAGGAACCGAATAAAGCGTTCAAATTAGTAAGACTTATTAATAAATATTGTAAATAATTATAAAAATGAATATGTATGTGCGAATGTAAGTCATGTGTTATCAATAAGCAGAAAGATCAACTTTAATTTCATCGAATACGTAAGATTCGTAGTACCGTATGTGTTGAAGAAGGACAAGGGTTTTACAGAAAAATGTTAGCTGAAAATTGCTATCCAAGCCGGTTCTTAAAGAAAAATATGAGGGATAGTCGGAACAAAGAATTCGCGGATTTTATTTCAAAAAATATCTTTATGTGCATCTGTATTTGAAAAGTGAATAAATTTCTGATGTTCTTAAAAATCGGCTGTCAACAGATATTAACAGAACTCTTTGCGTGGCAAAGATGTGACGAACATTCACTAGCAGAAATTTACTTTTCGTATACATGAAAGATAATCTCTGTCATTTATTCACCTCTATGAGCATCTATCGGTTCACCTACTTTTGTGGGACTAGGTACATACACCATAGCTAGTCCTTGATTTCAATTCGGAAACGAAGACATATTCCAATGGGATTCTCTAAAAGATGAGTGGAAAGCACTAACGAGTTCTGTTCCCGAATGTCCAGTCAATTCGAATCATTCCACTGATTCACTGGTTGATTTTAAGGTTGTCTATAAAATGTATTCAAATCTACCAAGATTTCGTGTTTAACTCCTTAAAACTGCAAATGTACTTGTCATCCATGACATGAAGTCTAAACTGTGTGTACAAAAGATGTACGTCTTATCGTCGTTTTTACCGTTGTCTTTAAATATAATCATTTTTTATTTTCATTTCATTGATTCCTTATTTGAAAATTTCCCTCTTTAATTATTTGTTATATCCCTATAATCTTATTCATGATTGTTTCTGATGTTACTTCATTTTATCCAATCCCACCAAAAACTTTAATTATTGTGACAAAAACATCTTCCTCCATTAACATTATAGGCCATTGTTAACTTTTTAATCTGACTTAAGTTTTCATTTCTATACAATATTTTTTATCCTTTACGCTATATCATCTAGTATTATAATCTTTCTAATTTTCACCATTTTTATTTATTGTTCATCTATCTTCAAGGAATTATTATCTAAATTATATATATATATATGCACAGTCAATTGTGTAGAACTACTTGTACTATTTTGATGATGGTTGTGGTAGTTCTCTAAGTTTCAGCTCCGTATAGTATGACTATCTTGACGTTCGTATTGAAGATTCTGACTTTTAAATTATTTGACAGTCGTTTTGAGTTCCATATGTTCTTCAACTGTAGTAATTCCATCCTTGCTTTGCAAATCCTCACCCTCACATCGCTGCACCCGATCCTCCTTGTTCATCAATGATGCTGCTGTTCATGTACGTGAAAGTTTCCACCTCTTCCAAAGTTTCTCCATCAAGCCCCGACCGAAGCTGCTACCTTGACGTGGTGGTCGAGCTTGCCTATCGTGATGACCCAACCGAGCTATATTGGCTGGAACATATGTTCCTGTAGGTTCTACCATGCCGGGCAGGTCGATTGGTGAACGGTAAGACTAAAAGCAGCAACTCAAGGTCTGAGGGCGAAGTCGTACTGCTGACTGTAGAGAGGTGTGACAGCAGTAAGGTGTTTCCCTCAGACAACCAGCATGACAGCGATGCTGCCTTCCCACAAGGAGGGGTGAGGTTAGAAAAGGTCGACCCTAAAAATGTCACACCTCACCTTACCTCACGGATTTCCGTCTCCGGCGGTAAGGCCATCTGAAGAACGGAGCTAACACGTCAAAAACCTTCTACAAAAAGGCCGTGCGCGACCGGCCTTAAGCAGTTGTCCCTTGGGCTCTGCAGTCACGCTCTCAGGTCGTTAAGACCAACACTAATCCAATTTCTTTTTCAGGTTCCTCAAGAAATACCCTTCCACGGTGTGGGCAACCGGGAAGTGACACCAGCCCTCATACCCGTAACAGCACGCGAGACCAAGTTGGTCACATTCAAATCCTTCCTACACCTTCTAATACCTCTCTTATCTCCATGACTAACCCTCCTCACGTCTCTTTATCACCTCGCACCGCTAGGGCAAACGATTCGAGTACGTGGAACTCTATTCCTGGTCTCCTGAAACCACGCTCTAAACTACACGTAGGAGCTTTTAACGTACGAACACTGTGCCAAATAGGACAACAGGCTTCCTTAGCTAGGACTTTAGAATCTCGCGCCATCGATGTGTGCTGTGTCTCCGAAACGCGCATACAAGATCCGAGTAGCGTCATTTATCTGACTTCACCATGCCAAAATAAAGAACCGACTCGATTTACGCTTCGTGTATCTGGAAGCCCTGATTCTGCTTCCCGTGGCCTCGCCGGCGTAGGTATAGCATTGAGTCCTAGGGCTGAACTAGCTCTCTTAGAGTGGATCCCAGTAGACAGTCGTTTGTGCGCTGTCCGACTGAACGGAACAGTAAGAACCCGGAAAGATAGGGACACTTGTCGTTGCCTCTTCGTCGTCTCTGCCTATTCTCCCACTGACTGCAGCTCAGATGATGTAAAAGATGAGTTTTACAGAAAGCTTTCGGACCTTCTCCGAAAAGCTAAGCGCTCGGATGTAGTAATAGTGGCCGGTGACTTTAATGCTCAAGTAGGTAAACTAAGCGATAGGGAAAGACACCTGGGTGGATCTTATAGTATAGTGGCTCAAAGAACAGATAATGGCGACCGTCTGTTGCAGCTATGCTCAGATAATCGCCTGTTCCTTGCAAATACTAACTTTAAGCATAAGGAAAAACATCTTTTAACATGGCGACCCCCTAATTCGTCCCAACGTTGGACCCAAATAGATCACATCGCTATCAGCCACCGATGGAGGGGCTCGATAGAAGACTGTCGCTCATTCTGGAGCACATGCCTAGATTCAGATCATGCTCTAGTACGAGCGCGTATTTGCCTGCGTCTTACTGGACGTAGGAAAACCGCTGCAAGGAAACCTCTTAGGGGCCTACTTAATGATAGTCAAGCTAAGAGTATATTTCAGGAACAACTAGGAAAACAGTTAGGCAGCCATGTATGTGATGCCCACCCCGAGGCAGCATGGAATGATATCCGAAAAGCTGTGGAAACAGCAGTGATATCTGTTAGTAAGGTAAACCACAAGGTTAGGGAGCAACACTGGATCTCAGCAGCATCTATCGCACTGATAGATGCTCGGAAACTCATTCCACCTGGCTCTGAACATAGTGAAGAGCGGAGTCAGCTTAAGCGCAAACTGACAAGAAGTCTACGCAATGATCGCGAACAGTGGTGGGTAGCGGAAGCAAGAGAGATGGAAAAGGCAACGGCAATAGGTAATAGCAGACAATTGTTCAGACTCGTTAAGGAAACCGGAATTTGGAACCCGATTGTTAGCGAAACAATCTCAGAGAAAGATGGACATATTATTCATTCTCAATCCAGGAGATTGGATCGATGGGCAGAACACTTCAGAGGTCAGTTCAACTGGCCTTCAGCCACACTTCGGTTTCCCACGATCTCCAGTCAACCTGAATGGCAAGTTAATGTAAGTCCTCCGTCTGTTTATGAAGTTGAAAAAGCCATAGGAAATTTGAAACGAGGGAGAGCAGCAGGCCCTGACAGGTTTACTCCTGAGATTTTTAAGGATGGTGGTCCAGTATTAGCAATGAGATTAACCGAGGTCTTAGGTAGAATTTGGGAACTGGACGTAATCCCATATGACTGGTCTCAATCACTGATTGTGCCAGTTTATAAGAAAGGACAAAAGTCCTCTTGTGACAATCACAGAGGAATCAGTTTGACTAATATAGTGTCTAAAATATTAGCCTCAATAATACTTCGACGCCTAATCAAAGCTCGTGAAGAGCAGACTCGAGAAAATCAGGCTGGTTTTCGACCTGGACGTGGTTGTATAGATCAGATATTCACACTACGTCAGGTTCTAGAACACAGACACACGTTTAGACGCCCCACAATGGTAGTATTTCTCGACCTTAAGGCGGCATTCGACTCTGTTGATCGTAAGGTTCTATGGCAGTGTTTGTCACTGAAAGGAGTACCAAAGAAGTACATTAACCTTATAAAGGCTCTCTACTCGAACACAACTGGTAGAGTGAGAGCTTACGGCGAACTGTCATCAGAATTGATTACATCAAGTGGTGTTCGTCAGGGCTGTTCACTCTCTCCATTCTTGTTCAACTTTGTGGTCGACGTACTTTTAGAGATAACACTCTCCTCATCTAAATTTCCGGGGGTTGAACTTCTACCGGGAGGTTCACTTGTTGACTTGGAATATGCAGATGACATAGTTTTATTTGGTGAAGACGCTGACAAAATGCAGAGTCTTCTGACCACTCTAAGCAATAATGCAAGCATGTTCGGGATGCGATTCTCTCCCTCGAAATGCAAAATGTTGCTTCAAGATTGGGTTACATCGACACCCGAACTAGTTATTGGGAGTGAAGTAGTTGAGTGTGTCGACCGCTTCACTTATCTTGGAAGTCTCATCAGCCCTTGTGGTCTGGTGTGTGACGAAATCTCAGCACGGATACAGAAGGCTCGACTAGCTTTTGCCAACTTGCGTCATTTATGGCGTAGGCGAGATATCCGTCTACCAACCAAAGGACGTGTTTACTGCGCAGCAGTTCGTTCCGTCCTACTTTATGGCTGTGAAACATGGCCGGTAAGAGTAGAGGATATTCGTAGGTTACTAGTATTTGATCATAGGTGTCTTCGAAGTATTGCTCGTATATCCTGGGACCACCGAGTAAGTAACGCAACTGTTAGGAAACGGGTACTAGGTAAGGATGGCAAATCAATTGATGAAGTAGTGAAACTTCATCAGTTGAGATGGCTGGGACACGTGTTACGTATGCCCAACCACCGACTACCTCGACGTGCTATATTCAGTGGTATAGGAGTAGGTTGGAAGAAAGCTAGGGGCGGCCAGACCAAAACATGGCACAAATCCATGAAGTCACTGACAAGTGGACTGAGTCATGTTGGTAGGTGTAGACTACCTGGTTGGGGACCGCGAGATGATAGCAACCGATGGTTAGAGACCCTGAATGACATGGCTCAAAATCGTTTGCAATGGCGCAGGTGCATCCACTCTTTGTGTTCTCCCAAATTCTAATCTTCTGAATTCTTCATGCCCCTTTTTTTCCTCTTTCCAAATTTATTTCACTGGATTATACTCGTTAAATAACATCTCCAAACCCTAATCTTCCCGATTACTGCTTATACTCTTGCTACCTCTACCACTACGGGATTTGAATCGACCACTGCATCTCTGTGCTAATGTGGTATGGCAACTCGAACTGATGTACGTACGTACTAAGTTCTACGTTGTTACTGACTGACTTCTCCATCAAGTGTGATTGGGTTGGTGTTCTCCGTGTTGTATTTGAGGATGTTTCTTTTTCTCCTGTGCATGTTGAGACCTATTGATGTAGAGGCTGCTGCTACACTTGGAATGTCTATATCAGCTGTCCCCCATGCACTACTTTGCAGTGTATTCCGTTTAATTTTCTTATGGCGTTGAAGATCATTCAAGGAGCTCCATAATGTCGAAGAAGGTTCCGAAAGGTTTTCCTGAGTACTCTGTCAAATGCTTTTTCATAATCAAGGAAGTCTATGTAAAGTAACAGACCCCCTTCAGTTGATTCGGCCTGTATATCTTAGGTACACAATGAAACGGGATAATAATCCTGTAGAACTTGAAAGACTCCAACTTAGATCGGCAATAGCAGTGCATAGTGTTTTCAATAACCATCAAGTCACTATTAAAAATGTCAAAATAACACAATACGGTTTTTTCAACTACAAGGAAGGCCAGAAGCTGAAGCTTTTCATGTATTACTAAATCTTAAATACCCCAATAGAGAAGAAAACTTCACTATCTATCCGAGCTATCATGTCATATTTTATTCACATCTCACACTATTATCATACATACAAATTGAATTATATTATTTCACACCACAAATGTTACATGTTTCACCCATTATCACACACCAATACTCAAGCATGTTTGATAAATCAGCTTATTCGAAGTGACCTGACATTGTCTTAGTCAATATGGTAATTACCATTACCTAGTGACTAGCTTCGAGAGGTAATTCTCGGAGTTCTAATGAGAAGTCGTGTCCAATGCAGCTTTATGTATCGGGTGTGAGGCAGTTATTCACGGAAGACAATGGAAGCTGATCGCACAATATCCAAGATTGATTGAACGTGGACATTAACACCGTTGGATGCCAACTCAGTGGTCTAGAGGTTAAGCGTTCTCCCGGGAGATCGGTGGTCCTGAGTTTCGTGTCCTGCATATGGGATCTTGAATGGGCACTACTAAGGAGTCGGATATCGTGACGAAACGGCCATCCAGTGCTTTCAGGATTTTAAAGGTGGTCTATCACTGATCGATTCATAATCTCAATCAAAAACCCAACCATTTCTGCACAACCCCATACTGAGAAATTATTTTGGTTTGCTCTCTTGTAATATTTAAAATTTGACTGATTTAATTTGTTTACTTATTCTCTGAAGAAGCGATTTACACTGAGTCACGAAACGTCGGGAAATTAGATTTTGCTACCCATTGGGATACTACAAATATATTATTTTTGTTAATAACAATCTACTCAGTACTCAGTTTTTCCAAAATTATCAAGTCAAACCTTAGTAAAGATACCTACAATGCTCCATATTGTTACGGTTGCTTTGTACATTAAGGTCACATTGATATTTGATTTATGTTTTAGAATCTCTCAGTCAGTTAATAGGTGGGACGATAGGATGTTTACGGTGATCATAAATCGTATATTATTTTATCATTTTCACTTCTATGGGAAACATTTTACGATCATGGTTCTTTTTTCTCTCAATGAAGCACTATCATTTTATTTCAATTTTCCTAAATATATTTACAGTTTATTCCTGTTTATTTTACTTCTAAATATGACAAAATTAAGGTGTGTATATTAATAAAATAATCTGACAGCCGTGTATTAAATGGTGAATATTTTGTTGTGACAAGATCTATTTTCCAATTCAGTTCTTAAATTTTTACTTAGTGTATCACTACTTTGAAATATGTGAGAAATTAGCTTTGTAACACATAACACACCCTTGTCACAGTTGTAGAAATTTGTATAATATGACGGGATCTTTGTCCGGCCGGTTTGTGTTGTAATTGATTAACAACATTTTGTGAATATGCATTTGGTATGTTATTTTGTTGCTATTGGATCGTTTTCTTTATTTAAGTGTGTTTCTGTCATGAAATAGATTATTTCATAAAAACTATATATGAAGCACTCAAAAAATTTTTTTCAAATTCTCATTTTGAAATTTTAAGCCACACGCTTTCAGCTGAATTCGGTACTGCGAATTTCTCACCCTCATCAAGTGATTCTCGAGGAAACTTTAAAGTTTTGCAAATAGTACGCGTTTTTATTTGCATCATCTTCGGTTGGAGTGATAATAAAGCCCCTGTTTCCCTATGTAGTATTTTTACATTTATTATTATTAAGGGTTTCAGTTATCCTTCAGTGGCCCTATATCTGACTCCAATTTGATCGTATGTTGACTGTTATCGAATTATACATATTGTCACTTTTCGTATATTGTTATCGACTTAGCTCGCGCTAGTGAATAACGGAATTAAATAAGCCGAATAAGAGGATGAAGTTTGAATGTGTATATTTCATACAATCGTTGATTTGAACTAACAATCTGTCGGAGAAACGAAGCGAAATGACGCACGTTGGAGAGAACATTTGAGCCAACTCGTTTTAATCAAGCGTGACTTGATACTTATAGTCAAACAAAAATAAGCTACAGACATGTGATGAGTAAGATCGGGTGTGCACATACATATGCCTACATAAAAACAGTCAAGGTTGGCAAACGAATAATCAAGAAGGTCAAAATGTGACTCAAGAAGAATGAATAAATCGGCCTGTTCGAAAGCTAGGATGAGCCATATGAGCTTGCATAGCACTACAGTCCTGTCATTAATATTCAAGACTGAATTTCGGTCGTTTTTTGTGTAAATGCGTTTGGTATAGGGACATTCAGCTGATTAATCTCAAATACGATAAAAATTACATTCCGGACTCTCACATTATTTAAATTTGTCTAAAGCTAAGACAATGATTTGGCAGGATAACATGAACTCATTGCATTTTCCGATTTCTCACCAGGTGCTCACAGCCATATATATATATATATATATATAAAGATATAACTCTGAGGTATGATATAATGTGGAACAATTGACATTGATACCGGAAAGAATTAGGAGTACAAGGATTATCTGTGTAGGAATAAGTGTAAAGTGATTTAGCGATTCGAATACGGGATGAGAAGCCACGAAATATAGTGAATTAATATTAATCTGCCCCGATCATTGTTTTGGCTTTAGTCAAATCTACAAAAGAAACTAATAGGATAAAACTAATTAAATTTTATGTATTCCAAACAATTTGGTTTCATAACCATATATCCACGGTCCAACTAATCTTTTGTGAGTTTTGTTCTTTACTAAAAAAACATGTAGTTGGAGTTGTTTACAGTCGTTTTTCCGACTAGTTTTTAACGGCAATATTTTATCACCATTGACATTCTGTGTATTTTTCACACAGATCGCTATTAAGTATCATTCTTGTATAATTTCCTTTTTGTATCAGATACCAAATGTACTCATGTTAACAGGTGTCCCAACTAGCACTACAGTCAAATCATTTGTAAAAAGAATAACAGAATTCTTCAAGTAAGTTTTTATACTGTTTTCGTTTTTTGAGTTTCATTCTACTGCGAAGAATATGTATAGTTTTAAATAATAATAATTTATATTCTGAAAAAATAATAATTACAGAATTCACGCCAGTTTACAGGCATGACCAATTTGATATGAATAATAACATTAGATGGGCAGAACAAACATGTGATAAAAGAATGTTTTAAGTATACTAGTTCAGTAGTTGTTTAAGTAGTATATGTATTACAGTGATCCAAAGCATCAGCCGGGAATTTTTAATATTTCTTAAATGGACAGCCTGTTGATTTATGAACAATGTAATTAAGGTCAATTCGTGTGCCAGATCGAAATGATGATAATTATCTACAACTAGCCCCCAAATGCCCTGGTACGACCGAGAGTGAGGAGAGTCCGCTCTCCCTCTCGAAATACTCTCACACGGCCACGCGTATATAGCCTCTGCCAGGGAAGTCCTACTCACTGCCTTCTCGTGGCGCGGGTGTTGTTTACGAAAATGAGAGGACGAAAAGCGAATGTCAGGCGCTTTAACCGGATTCCAAATCAATGGTGCACATGGGCTCCAGTATCTTGCGGGAACAAATGGCGTATGAACCAATTGTTGGTCACCGGCTTCCATGGGACTGCATCTCCTTACGATGTTCCACTGCCTTGTGGATCAGACCCTCAGGTCGAAGGCTCCGGGTGTGGCCCCCTAAGAAAACCACCTGCTTCGGTTTGGGCACCCGGGCAGTATCACAGCCCTCACACATATCGAATGAGATTTGTGTGGCGCATATGTATTTGGTGCCTCTTTGTACAAATATCTATGTGTTGAAATAAAAAATAGAAAAATCTACAACTAGAGAATTTGAAACGAAAACACAGAGCACGGAACAACAAATCAGTAATTACCGAAATATATCAATCAGGTCTACCTAAATGCGTGTCATGTGACACAGTGATATACTGTTTGTGTTATTCAAATTAGTTAAAGTTGCTAATGGCGGTGTTAACATATTGACAGCAAGTGGGTGGTTTCACTAATGGAATTCACTAATAAAGATGGCTAAACATTTAAGGTTCCTAAAATATCACTTGTGGAATGAGATACACTTAAAGGCGCTAGACCATTCAATAAATTTTCAGAGGAGCAGTATGCATCGATGCAGCGAACAAATAATGGGAGTGATTTTATCGTGCGGATAGATTGTGGTAGGTTATTCCATAGTCTATAAAATTTACAGGTGAAGTAATTCATTACTTGATGTGCACTACTAATATAAACACTATTGGTTAATTTAAAAGACGATAGCCCAAAGTTTATGGCATGAAATATTCAAGCATTGTTTCTTGTAAATAAATTTAGTATCTTCAAGAATAACCATTACCATATATAGTCGGCTTTATTCTGCAAAATTATTCTTGCAACATTTGATTTCTTATCGCATACAACTACTTAAAAAAGAAATAATATTCGTTACATTGAATTTAGCATTATTCAAGGTCTTAAAAATGGTATACAGCATTATATGCTTCTCATGGTGTGGAAATGAATTTCGTATCAGATACTTTATTCTTTCTTTAATTACTTTAAATGTACGCTTATATGTGTGCTTTTTCTAAATATTTTGTCGTGACTAGTTTAGATCAATACATGGTTAATTGGTTCATTTAACTGTATTATAATCTGTTTTATTCATGTTATTTCTGTGTATAATGATGATGTTAATAATGCTACTACTAATGGTAATAATACTGATAATCGTAATGACCAAAGCATTCTATGATAGCTATAATCGTTTAGATAATAATCATAATATTCTGTTTATGTATATATAAGTTCATATCTTTAACGGTTGACTAAAGCTTCAGCAAATCTTCCATGACAATGGGCTACTACTTACTACCACCACTGTTACGCATATAAAAACTTTTCACTATACAACAATGTAATCACACTACTGTGGTTCATTGAGAAGAATATACACCCAAAGTCTAAACGACTTGTAACTAACGAAGAATCGTAAACTATTCACATTCGTGTCCCTCGTATTACAAGCTTTATGAATTATTATTATTATTATTATTCGATATAAAATTATTGAGTTATGCCCATTCTATCAGTCACTATCTCCCACATTCACAGTCACTTTTATTTAACTCTTTTACAAATTTGTTATCTATTTTATGGTACGAAGTGGTCTTTTTGGTTTTAATATAAACCCAGTATGTTTGAAATACATGATTCATATCGCAGAGTCTGAGATTGGTGTTCTGGACTTAACAGGCAGGGCTAGACAGAAAGCAGGACCAATGAGGAATCTCGACTGCTCGTACGGGTTTCATGCGTCATTGGTCCGGTCGATAATCCACTGTTCTTTAATTGGCGGTATCATTAAGTTATACATTAATGGGGCTCAAGTCCACACGTTATAACATTCTCTACCATTGATACTGTTACTACTTCCACTACTCTGACATTTGCCTTAATAATTTCATTTAGTCGTTCTGATATGGAGTAGCCACCTAAACTAATATGCATATATGCTCAATTTTACGTTACTTACAACTGATTGACAGGATAGTTTCCTAGCTGACGTTAAATCATAAGGAGAACGCCTTCAGAAAGCATCTTTCTTCAGAATGTAAATAGAAATTATTAGCCTTATTCTAGTTCCCGTTAATCAATACTCATCGGTAAATAGAAGTTTTGAAAAAAGAATTATTATCCTTGTAATTTAAATGGTACTTTCTTATAAAACTCATTTATTGTAGAATTAATCATCCAGAATTGAAGGTAAAATGGATTGAACCAGTTTATTTAGTTCGAAATTTGACGGAACTTGAACAAGCAAAGTGAGTTCATTAAACATAGTGAATTGAAGAAAGTTTATTTCTTAATCGCATTGTACATCATATAAGTATTTCTGTTATCAACATTTAATTGGTTAGTCTAGATATTTTACTGTTATACATTTTTTACCAAATAGGTATTATCCAGTGCGTTTAAAAATGCAACTCTCAAGAGAGATGGTAGTCAAAGCAATATTAGGATGAATTCTAAAGTAATCAGTCATTTTGATAAATTTGGTTTGTGTAATAAGACGGAGATTGTCAGAACTATGTAATACATTTCGAACAATCTGATCACATATATACTTGTTAAAAACATTTATCTACGAAATTTAAATGGTCAAATATACAAATAGTCAGTTATAAGTTCTGTTAAACATAGCTAAGATATTCAGAGGGCGGTTCGCTTTTTGAGTCGTATATGAAGCAAAGTTGCATCAATATGTAATGCATATATGATTCCTTTCACCACTCAAATGACTTATTAAATACATTCAAGTATTATATGCATGTATATGTTTTCATTACATTGGTAAAACTGTTTGTTTTTAGAGCTGAAACAGAGATTTATCTACGCGCTTCAGTTGAACAATTAGAAATAACTGGCGAACAACCATCCTATCATAATTTCGGTACTATTTGTCAAACACTAGCTACGAGTAAATCAGACGCCAATGCAATTGTAGTGTATAATGAACAATTAGATGTGCTTGCAACACAAATCAACACTATATATGCAATCAGTGGCCTATCGAACATTGAACTTTTGATGAAAGAAAATCCAGGAAAGAATCTTACTGATTTACTCGATATACCGCATACAGGAATTGTTTTTATCGGTCTAGAAAATTCAGGACAAGTTCTAAGGTCGGTAAAACCATTTTGTCAATGTTTCTATGATCTTTAGTTTACGTGATGAGTAGGCAACTTTCTTATTTGATTTTATCCTTATCTTTGAAATAAAAGCTCGTCCATTCAAGCTGCTATACATTTTTGACCATAATAATTTTATGAATAAATTTTTAGTTGTTAAAATAAAATAAAAGATTACTGATTGATAGACAATACGTCGTGGACAAGTAATAGCTCCTGAAGAAACCGAATAACTCCAGGTCTGCTATGTTTGTAGAGATTAAGAGATTATCTAAAATCAGCGAAGGGAACGAAGGATCAGCAACACGACTAGACAGTTAAACTATTCTGATGCACTCCAGCCCTGCTAACTAGAGGGATAAGACCAGGTTCAGATCAGGAGTAGATACATTACATGAGCAGTCAAAAACACTAACAAATCAAGCACACAACTTAAGCATATATATACATCATAAAAAATCCTTGAGAAAGGTCACAAAATAGCTTATTAAAAGAGGCAACGAAGCAAAGACATTTAAGGTCCTTTCAAACGGGAAATACGTTCTGAAGATAAAAGTGGATGCCTTTGGCGCGAAAACAAATTCAAATTTCCAAATTAAAATGACAAAAATAAGACGTATATCAAGTGATTTCCGAGGATCTAGCATCCCTAACACTCCTAATAGCGTACGTTCTTGAAGTCCATCCGCATATTAATCGTTTGTCATCTTTGTCAAAGTGAAGACGTTCTGGAACGTGGATCGATTCGTTGTTGTACTTTTCCTTGCGTGGGAACTGCCGGTAGGTTGAAGTTGTCTAACAGAATTTCAAGCGAGGAGTTTTCGCCTATGGGATCTTCAGTTTCGTTCGCAAACGCCTAATCTCTTGACCATTAAGCCGAGGTCCAACTTTGTTAATGTCTAACTTCGACCATTCCGCGACCATCACCAGTGGGCGACCGCCTCACACCGGAAACGGATTAGCTGCACCGGTCGCGTCTTCTAGAACTCTGAAAATTACCTTGAAGCTAGTCACTATTGAGGGTATGATAATTTTCACTATGGGGTGTGGAAACTGGTCTCTCAATATAGTGGACTGATTGAACGTAGACATTAACACCATTGGATGCCGACTCAGTGGTCTAGAGGTTAGGTGTTCTCCTGGAAGATCGGTTGTCCTGAGTTTCGTGTCCCACATATGGGATCTTGAATGGGCACTACTAAGATGTTGAATACCGTGACGAAACAGCCGCCTAGTGCTTCAAGGATTTCAATGGTAGTTTAACGTTCATTAGTGCATGATTTTAATGAAATAAAATGTTCAAGTAGTCTAGAAAGTGTAATGTTATTATATGAAATATGTACATTTATTCGTCATACTTTAATAACCATACTTTTTTTTAACTTCTAGATAAAACTAATCTTTAAGATTTTCTAAAAATGTTTATACTCTACTTTTCATATACCATATATAGACATCTCTAACCTATTTGTCACCTTTTGTTTACAAATTATTAACGTGACTTGTAAGCATAATACATTAAAATGCTTTTTAATAATTTAGTAATATATTTGAAATATACCAGTGAGTTGAAAATGGACTTTGTGATGTTTCTTGGCTTATTTTTGGTTGTTTCTTCAGAGAATAAATAAATAAAGTAAATCAAAACAAGTCTGATCAAGCTTACATCATGTTACTCAAGTTAAAGGCAAGACAGTCTTTGTGTGTATTTGTGTATACCTCAGTTGGTGTGGAAAACAATGTAAAACGGTAGAGCTAATTTGTATATATGTTGATGGTGTTGAATTTGCACGATAGAAACCCCCAAATGCCCTGGTACGGCTGAGAGTGAGGAGAGTCCGCTCTCCCTCTCGAAATACTCTCACATGGTCACGCGTATATAGCCTCTGCCAGGGAAGTCCTACTCACTGCCTTCTCGTGGCGGGGGTGTTGTTTACGAAAATGAGAGGACGAAAAGTGAATGTCCGGCGCTTTAACCGGATTCCGAATCAATGGTGCACATGGGCTCCAGTATCCTGCGGGAACAAATGGCGTATGAACCAATTGTTGGTCACCGGCTTCCATGGGACTGCATCTCCTTACGATGCTCCACTGCCTTGTGGATCAGACCTTCAGGTCGAAGGCTCCGGGTGTGGCCCCCTAAGAAAACCACCTGCTTCGGTTTGGGCACCCGGGCAGTATCACAGTCCTCACACATATCGAATGAGATTTGTGTGGCGCATATGTATTTGGTGCCTCTTTGTACAAATATCTATGTGTTGAAATAAATAAATAAAAATTACTCAAAAACATTTTTACAACTATAGAAAATACTAATGATTGATGCTTTCCATAAATTCCCAAGCTCTATTGTGTTCAGTAGAAACGGATGTTTAACTGTCCACTAAACTTGGACAAGTTTTCCAAATAAACACATTTGATCTGTTTATTTATTCTTTGAAGAAACGACTTACATATCAAATCACGAAATATCAGAAACACAATTTTCACCTCATTAAAATATTAAAATTATATTATTATCCCATTAATACAAACATTTTACTCAATGCCCAATGTATTTGAAATTATCAAGTCAAACCGTGGTAGTGGTGCTTACAACCGTTTTTGATTGCGTGTTTAGCGAAAAGACTGATTTACAATCATACATTTTGTGATAGAATTGTCTATCCCTATAAAAAGTTCATTATATAGTTCCATAAACGAACTTCTATGTGTAGGTATCGTTACCAAGGGTTGACTTGGTAATTTCGAATAATTGAGCATTGGCTTGATTTTTATAAATAATTAATGTATTTGTAATGATTAGAAAAATTAGATTTTCTGGCGTTTCGTGACTCAGTGTAAGCCACTTCTTCAGAGAATAAATAACCAAGTCAAAATACTTTATTTTCTTATCCATTCACAATGAATAAAACCATTCTCGTGAATTATGGATTTATTAATTGGTCAGCGTTGTTATTGTTAGGTGTTAACTTATGGGTAATGCTAGCCAAGATGATAAGTAGATTGGAAAAAAAACCTGGATGCGATTAGAATAAACACAATAACTGTCAAAAGTCGATGACAGTGAGTATCCTAAAGAGTGTAAGCTTATTTCCTAAGTTCTGCAAAGTGTTTACAATCAGCATTTGAAGCCTCTGAATATTATAAACGAAATTCTGTAGGCTGATTAAACTTCTAACATTCTCCAAGTCCTAAATATTTTATAACTTCATGGTTAGTTGATCTACATTCATTCATGCTTTTGAATATTTTGATGTTTTTATTGATCCATTCTGTTTGTTCTTGTTGTAAAGCGTCACAATTACAAATACCTTATTGCTAAATCTATCTATTTTTATGTACACTAATATTCGAAATCATGATACTTTTGTATTAATATATAAGTACATAACTTGGTTGGTCAGTTTTGAACTCCTGGGATTATGCAAAACCGACTATAAATAATTGATCAATCGTTTGAAGACAATGATTTCCAAACTGACAAGATATAATTTTCTCTTGATGTTCAAGTGTATAGTTTCACTGTAATCTTGTAATCGGGATCTCTTACAAGTAGTGTTTCAGAGCTAGGGAAATGTAATGAAATAATTTAATGATTTATGAAAGGTTGTGAATATAGTCAATCACTTTAAATGGCAAGTTAGTGCATCATATTTAGGATAATATGTTTTTTAATCTTGTTCTCTAACTTCTTCTTATTTGTTTTTTTTTTATTTCCCACTCCTCTAGATTTCTGTCTTCATACACAACTTGTCCGCTTCAAATATTTCCAATCAACAATACTATACATATACAAAACTATTGTAAACAGCATCGTCCTTGGCGTAATTTATACTATATTAAGAAACCAAACCGATCTAATCTATTCAATCATGCTTATTTAGCTCCACCATCATCAGATTTGTTGTGGTATGAATTAAATTTTATTTTATTTCTCTTACGATATTTACGTATTATATAGAAAGATAGAGAGGTTTGTGGAAGCTAGTCCAAACCAAGTTTTCTTTTTTAGAAATATATTATTCAAGATGATTTGGTTTAACATTTTTTAAAGTTGATTTCTTACCTGTTATTCTTTTGATCAACATAAATTACATTGACAGTATAACTGGTTAGATATTTATTGATAGTATTAATCTAAATGATAATCAGTGTAGTAGGAACAACCAGTTAATCTACTCACGGTGAAATATTTTGCTCAAGAGTACATCTTAATTTTGAAAAAAATATTTAATATTTAACACTAATCATTCACATTACTATAGGTGCAGGTTGTTTCTCAATTATTTCATTGATGATGAAGGTATATCATAGCTTATCTAACTCCTAATAAGAAATATTCATTTTATTGTAATACACTGTAATACTTACAATGTAAAGCATTTAGTTAATACCACAAAATTCATTCACATTAGAGTTTCAAGCTTTGGTTGAAGTCATTGATATTGATCATTGTATATCGATTCATTAGTTCAGATAAGAACATATTTATTATTTGGTTTGTAAATCCTGTTGGTCGGTGTCAATTTGAAGCATGAACACATATAGTTGAGGTGTCCTAGGATGAGATTATCTGACAGCTATTATACCGATTAATGCAAGCTTAATACTTACCAGTGATATTCATTTCAGTATTTCAAATAAATTTTACACTCATTTATATTCTATGAAATTCTTAAAACACTTGGTCAGTACCTTTGCAATGTGTATACAATATATAGCATTTTTTTAAAATCCCTAATTCAATAAAGCTATAGACTTATGTAACTATCCACAGGCTGAATATAACTTCCACAACATATCATGGATGTCAATGGTGGTTACGTGTAGTTTGGATTCGTGTAGCTGTTGTTTTGTTGGCATTCGTCTTAACATCACCTGTTTATATACTTACTATTGTAAATTTTGCTGGATTATTCGACTGGTTGGGTAGAATTTCGGTACGTACTCGATATATATATATATATATATATATATATAATGGTTTAATTATTTTTATTCCTATTTACGTATTTGCATTCATTTCTAATTATCCAAGTGAAATCGTGTCTGTCTGAATTTGTCATAGCCAAACGTTTTTATTAATTAACCTTGTTGTGTTTGGATTGGCAATTTATCACGTTCTAACTTCTGCATTAATTACCGAATTCCTTGTACATGTGTCTTTTTACTGATGTTCGTTTGTTTTAACTAACATCAGTATCTCAGAAGTGTTATCGACGTGTTCAGGGTTTCTGTGAAAAAATGTGTCAAAGCAAACACTTGTGCTGACAAACCGAAATACAAGATTTGTGTACCATTTACTTTAGATAACAGAAGGATGAAATCTTCACATCACAGCATTTTTTTACAAATCAGTAAGTATCTAGACTACAATGACTTTTTACTGATTACAAAAAGACTTTACATATCAAACTTCGAAAATAGTTAAATTGGTTTGAAATAGACATCCACTACTGTGCTCACTCGTACTTCGTTAATGCTCAAATGGTGCTGCTTGTTGAAAATAAGTTCCGTCATTGTAATTAAGTTGTATGACTAGTGGTTTTAATTATGCTTAAGGAAATAATTCAATCGAAAATATTTCTTATTCATTGTTTATTAAATAATTAATACTATGTTAAACTATCTAAACAATTTTTTCAGCGTCCATTTATTTCTAAATGGGTCCCGGCAGCAATTTTAGCAGGTGTCTCATCACTTCTAACACGTCTAGTGATCATTAGTGAATATTGGACGAGACATAAGACACGTGGAGGTTTAGAAAGTGTTATCTACCGAAATGCTTATTGGTTCTTATTTATTACAGTGTTATTATTACCTTCTCTTGGAATAACAGGGTATGTTAATCTTTTAAGTGTTCTTATAATGTTTAATCTTGGTAAAATTTAGACACTATATGAAGAGTTGTATAGTTTGAGAATTTTTGGAATAGTAGTTAAAAATGAGAAGTAACCTTCGATATTCAGTAAGTAAATGGTGAAAAGTAATGATTTGATATATTGTACATAGTAAGCATTTTGTCATTAAAGGTAAGCCGAATAAAACAAGTGCTCGATTGTTACCGATAGTGATGGATTTTACTGTTTTTGAAAAGGTTCAACTGTATTATTCTTTTCAATTAATTAGAAATACTTTATAAGTTAATTCACATTAAATTGTCAAATATATCTAAATAATTTTATGGGATTATATAATAAACCAAACGATTTTTTCTAACTACTCTTCTATAATGGACCTATTTATTACGTGATGTTAAAGTTACTGGAATGTATGAAATAAATTTGGATATCTGTATATGTTATTGCTAATGACTTTGTTCACTTAACGGCTTTCTGTTGGATAAATCGCCTTTCTCTGGATCTTTATGTTACTTCCATAGTGTTGATAAATAGTGTAATCATTTCTTTTGAGATATTAATGGTTGGATGTCTAAAATTATTTGATATCGTCAGGTTAATTATATTTTTTCCCATACGTGGATTAGATCTTCCAATTTTTTTAATTCTAATGACTTTATGCATGATGGATGATAACATCTACCTGGGTGGTTTTATATGAAAAACAATCCAATACATTTATTATTACACACACATCGACCTAGTCATCTAAAATTTACATAGACAATTTCCACTGAAAATATGTTTAGACATAATCTAATATTAAGTCAATGAAAATCTTGCATGTCTAGACACTGCCTAGTGCATACTACATGTATAGATGTGTATTCTTGAGTGCTTATGTATAATGATATTGTTTATATGGTCGTTTACTAGATGTATTCTGGACTCGTACATTTTTCACAGATATCTTACTAATGACAAAATCATTTATGTTAAACATGATCGGTTGATATTTCTCATGTACTGTGTTTTGTTTTCCAGTTTTCCAGCTCTGTTACATCAACTTATAACAACTAAAGTGAATCATTCAAATCCATTTGCTTTTTATGTACCATTTCGAACAGAATGTATATTTTTACCAGACAGTGGTGCATTGTTCATCAATTATGTAGTAACATGTGCACTACTTGGAACGGGTCTACGAATTCTACGTTTGGGTCATATTTTTCAAAGTTTGATTAGACGACACTTTTACGCTCATACTGTGGCAGAAAGAAAAGTTTTCTCTGAAGTAATTGGTTTATATATATATATATGACTTTGATCACAGTAATTTACTGCCACTGTTCCCATAAAATCCTTTTCTTGTCAATCACCATACAAACTTCATTATTGTCAAATCGAGTTAGATATTATTTTTTAACATAAAATGAAACGATATTCTCTATCAAAACAACATTTAAGATAATAAAAACCACAGAAACTTACTACCATCAACTTGATTTTAATGAGTATAAAGTATTTATTGGAAAAACTTCTGAACATTAAAATTACATCAGTTGAGGATTTTCACCAGAACTGGTTGTGAATATTTTTGTCTGAAAACGTTAATTCATTTGAATCTCTATGCAATATACTAAAAGGTACCATCGTGAAGTGAGTTATAGTAGGTGTCTAGTCACTGTAGTTAATTACTATTAAGTTGTTGATTAATTTCTGCAAATACAAAATATCTGAACTGAGTTGTATAAGTAGCTGCAGACCATTTTCTTCGATGTCGGCACGAATATCTCAATCTTGATTGGCGATATTGATTGACATGGCTCAAAATCGGTCTCATTTAGCCAGATCTATATTCACTCTTTGTCCTAAAAAATACACTTACTTTTTATTCCCCAGATTTTTCTTGAATTTTATTGTTTATCCCTAATCTCTTATAACATTATTAACATTGTAACTACTTCTACTTCTCTGATGTTTGTCTGGATAATTTCGTTTTCTTATTCAAATGTAGTGTAGCATGCAGTGCTCATATGTGCAGGTTCTACTTTGCTTGTAACTAACTAACAAAGCAACCTTAACAAAAGTGAACAAAGAAATTAAGTCTAATTTTCTTCATGATTTGAACAATTGGTCATCAATGTAATTGTCAATAAGAATAAAGTTGTTAGACATATGAATTTAAAGGTGCCTTGCGTATTGAAATAGCTTTATTAGAACAAATACAAGAAATGTGTAGAAACTAAATAAAATTGTTACTTGTTTGTGAATAGTTTAATAAATTGCGAACAGTATTCAACACCAATAATAATATCTCAAACTAATATATTACAGCAATGGGAATCTATCTTGATATTTTTCTCCGTTCTTATACATGAAAGTAACGTGATAACATTTTTGACTGAGATTCATTTCGTTATGTCTGCGTTTTTCAACTAGGCTGGAGAAAAATCTGCTTAAATCTTGACTAGTATGATTAATTACACTTGTTCGTGAATACAATATCATGAAAAATTCACTTATTGAACAACTACTTGCGCCTGTGACCGACCTCTTGTGGAGGAGCATAAGCCGCCCACCAGCATTCTCCATCCAACCCTGTCCTGGGCAGTTCTTTTCCAGTTGTTATTCATCCTTTTCATAACTGCTTCTTTTTCCGATGTAGTGTGTTCTTTGGCCTTCCTCTTCTCTGTTTCCCTTCAGGATTCCAAATTAGTGCTTGCTTCGTGATATAATTTGGTGCTTTCCGTTATGTATGTCCTGTCCACGCTCAATGTCTTTTTTTAATTTCCTTTTGAGCTGGAAGTTGGTTTGTTCTCTCCCACAGTAGGTAGTTGCTGATGGTATCCGACTAACGGACATTATCTTGCTTAGACGATTGTTTATAAATACTTGTACTTTTTTGATGATGGTTGTAGTAGTTCTCCAAGTTTCTGCTCCAAACATTGGTATTGAAGATTCTGACTTTGAGCAACTCTAAATACGATATACCTAAAATATCATTCTTCGAGTGGTCATTAATTGAGTTTTTTGGGGGGTCTTTTTGTATCGATTCACTATTTAGTCATGTGTGTGTCGTGTGACTTCAACTCGCTCTATTCAATTGTCTTGTTGCTGCGATCTATTGAATGCTGTTTCATTTTTCTCAGTTTTTTAAGTATTTAATGGATTATTTTATTGTCGATCATCTATATTTATCTGGTTATTCAAGGCGAATTAAATGAACCAAATTTTAGGCTTATACTTAAAACGTCGAAAATCAATATTTTCTCCATCGATCTCACACCATTAGTGTTAAACGCTAAATTTTGGTGTCTCGTAGACCCTAGCACTGTAGTCCTTATGAATATTCGATAATAATACTTCTTTTTCTCTCTCTCTCTTTCTCCCTCTACCACACGAATTAGCCTCAACCGGAAGTATTCGCATTTGGAGAAAACTATGCATTTCTGTCAGTTGTTCATACAATTATTATTGCTTACACACCAGTGTGTCCAATCATCTACGTCTTTGGTCTATTGTATTTTCTATTTAAATTTCTTATCGATAAATTTATGCTTGTATGGATTCATGAGCCATTGCAATCAGATATATATGGTTGGACCGAAACGTTAGTTTCCTCAGTATTCATTAAAATTGATTGGTTTGTTTGTCGGTTATAATGTAAAATAAGATAGATGAGTGTATCATTAAGGATTGTATGCGCGTCGCCTTGTAAATGTTGTTACTTTGTCTAGTGTAAGTAATAAGAAAAAAACAAGTTTAGTTGTATTCTATTAAAACTATCAAATAGTTCACTTCACTTTCGTGTCAACTCAAAGCTGTTGACCATTTTTTTACCATTTAATTAGTTGGTCACTTATATGCAGTAAAGAAACGGACACACACGTTTATCGGTTCAAGTTTTATTACCACATTAGCTTACGGGGATGTAATTATTTAAAGAAAGAGTAGTAACAGTAGTAGTAGTAGTGGTAGTAGGAAAAAATAGGCGTAAAAAAGGTATATTGAGATTCCGGGATTCACTTTCCGAAAAAAAGATTGGGAGTGTAAGTGCCTGCGCCATTGCGAACAACTCTGAGCCATGCCATACAAATTTGCTAACCATTTGTTACAATAATCATGCGGACTCCATCCAAGTAGTCTTCATCCATTATCATGGGTCAGTCTGCTTGTTTATAACTTCATGAATCGGTGCTTTATTTGACCTTCCCTAACTTTCTTCCAACCAACTCCTACACCATACATCATCGCCAGTCGAGGTCTTCTATGTTTGGGCATAGACTACATATCCCAACCACATCAATCGAAAAGAAATCCATACCTTATGTCTTACTTCGACATTTCTCACTCGGTTATCTCACGATATTGATGAATGTCTTCTAATCTTAATGCTCATCTTTTACAGCCATGAAGTAGAATGGATCCACCTGCTGTGTAGTAAACTCATCCTTTGATTGGTAGATAAATGTTGTACCCACACCATAAGTAACTCAAGTTGGCATGTTCAATCGAGACTTCTTGATTATTTAATTATCATAAAAGTGAATAGAGACTGAGGAGGTTGTCTAAACTTGTTGATACAAAATAAACAGCAACATTATCGATTACTATTATTCAAATATCACGTTTTACTGAAAAATATGTTGCGTAATACTTGGTTGCGTATAGTACTTATTTATAATGTTAGTTTAAAGCGTATATTTCATCTGCTTAATTCCTGTTTATAATTTAAAGTAACACCCTGGATGTCCAGAATTATACTGTGACGCATCAGTCTCTGTTTTCAATTATCAATATTTTCTCCAACCACAAGTTACGTAGTGTCTTTTTTCACTGCATTTTGGGTTTCTAAGGTTTCAGAGCAAAATACAAAGTGAATACTTTAAACTGTAGTTTTATTCGTACATAAATAGTATCTATGTTCTTACTTATGAGAAACAGTAAGCGTTTTGGGACATAGCTAATTCTTTGTGTTTCACTGATTTGTTCTTTTATCAAAGCTTATATCGTACTGACGACATTCATTATATTAAACATCATGTTATAGGTTTAACGATAAATCTTAGTATTGTTTATCCTTAGTTTATTATCTCACATCCTTATGCTTGACAGTCACTTGTATAATTGCAGTTTTGAGACAGTTAACGTTAATTTCTGGTTGTGTATTTAGTACTGATCACTATTAATTTTTACCAAAAACCACGATATAGTTTAGTGTAGTTTTAATGTCAAATATACACTGATCACTGCTGTAGGCTAACCACCTTGGGTTTATTTGTCACCCGGCGACCAGTTTATGTAAATAATCCGGTTTTAGTAGTATTATTTCTGAATACAAGTTGAAACAAAATGAATGTCAATTACAAATGAGTTTTTTTCGGAATTTCGAAGATACGCAGTATTTATGTATCTCATGTAGTACAAGACTTTCTCAAATGTGCTTTTAATACGTTTCCTATTCACAAAGTATAATTACATTCATCAATTTATAAAATTCAGTTACTTATATTATTGGCTGTTACAAAAATAGTCTTAGATTACTTTAATACTGAAATGGTTTCATGTAATTTTATTTGGTTTTTATTACAGCGACAAAAAGAATTATCAATATATTTATCATTTGAAATGGTTTCTTCAATCAACTCGATTTAGTTTATCTGGAGTTTGTATGGCATCTATCAATGTGTTTGCTTTTTATTCACTACGATGGTCTTCTGTAGAATTACGCCCACTGATCATTGCTTATTTCGTTTTGACTATGGTTACGATTGTAATATCTGTGATATTTTCTGCCTTTGTCAAATATCATTTATCTTCTCTTATATGCCCTGTTTCTGTATGCAGAAAATATTCCAGTCATTATCGTAAATTAATTGACTATAATCAAGTAAGACTTTTATACTAGTGTTTTCTCCGTAAAATATTTAATCATAAACTATCGTCTTTTTTTCAAAATGATGTTATTGTCGCTGATGTTGCTTTTGCTTAACTAGACCGCATAATTATGATGTATTCATTGCATTGATATGCGAAAATTACGAATTTCGAAATGAATCAGTTTATATTGCCTGTTCTGTTGTCCCACTGAGTCCTAGTCATTGTACTTGCGATAAACTCTTCCAGTCTTTATTCTAAATTATTCTGATTCTTGTCACTCGATAACTAACCTATATGTGTATTTCCTTTTTTAAATGATTAATATTTTAACTCTACGTCTATCTCCAATCTACTTGGATATGTTTTTGGTCACCGCTCTTTAACTTCCATTATCTCAATAATATATATGATTTATTCAATAAACAAAATTGACTGTACACTTGTTAGGTGATGTAAGGACGTTACGAAGTAGATAGGTGGCTTATCATATGTTGTATGAAGTAGTTAAAATAAATGACTAACTAATCACCGGTGAAATAGTAAGTCTCAACTGTTTTCTAGTGCGTTGAAGTTGCCTGGGATGGAAATTACAACATGAAAATTAAGTTGTGAAAGTAAGAGAATACCAAAACTCTATTATTCAGTTACTCAAATGACCACGTTTTCAAATATGTTAGGCATAAACATTCGTTCATATTCCGTTTGATGTAGTCCTCTCAAAAATCTTGTAATTAATGTCGTTCGTTGTACACTTTAGATGTGTACGTCGCATCACTTTGTGGCCAGCTTGGTATTTTCGTTCTTTCAATTTCTAATACTATTCTATATCGAAATAACAGAGAGAATTCATAGCACAGGTGGATACTTTTAGTTATATTGCCTTCTCTAACTTGTACAGTTTAATTGTAGAATTTTGTTCATCGTTCCAGATAAAATGATTAGAGTCTAATTTATGTAGAACTAACCTTTATGATTGTTCCACAAATTTATAAAACTCAGCTCTATCGAAAACTATACAGTGACTTCAGAAATGAAAAGTTACTGATCTTATATTGTGATACTACCCTAAATTGTAATTTTGCATCTCGAAATAAAAAATTTTGTCTTGTGTTTTAATGTTCAATATCTCACTTCTATCATACAATGTTTATTATGGTTCTTATAACATTTCTCAACTGCATCATTTCACTTTTCTCTTACCCTAAGCATTGACACCGCTGTTACTCAGTCAATTGTATAGATTGATGAATTAATTGTTGAAGCAGTGGGTTTCCAGCCGTTCAGTTTCATTTTCCAATCCCTAACCCCCCAACAGCTAAGTGTATATAGCTTTGAACTGAGTAAATAAAATATGTATTTCATAAATGAGTTAATTTAAATAAATTAACTAAAATATGATAAATGTTCAGCTTAACTTGTTGTATGAGTGTTGAAGGATGTTAGTTAATCTTATAAAAATTGAACAGAATGTTCTGAGCCTGTGTAAAGCTATGTTGAAGGTGTTTTTGTTATTTGCGGATTCCCATTGATATATAATTATATATGGTATAATTGGAATTCACTCACTTTAGATTTTATAGTCGGACTTCGGTGTAACATTTCACAGTAGTAAATTTATTACACTAATCACTAAGATTTTTCACTATGTTCGCCTGTATGTCAATATAATAGGTCGTTGGTAATTTGAGAAATTCTGTAACATCATTAGTCCTTAACATTCAGATTGCATTAGGTTGTTCGTGATTTATAATTTTTATATCTCACGAGGAAAATATTTTGGGACTTTTGTTGAGTGCACAATATTGTGACGAAATAATGAATATTTGTCTCAATAAACCACTTCTATTAACTTATACTCATTTTAAATCATAATTCAGTAAATTATGTTGTTATACTTATTTTAGAACAAAATGATCTCCAGCTCAGTTATATGCACTTGCCCTAAATTATACCTTGATACCTCTAGAACTGAAAGTGATTACACAGTTCCTGTTTTACGTAAGTTTAAATTGTGAGAAAATTCATATCTATCAAGATACATTTTAGCAATCTTATAAACAGAAAAAACTAAACTTATGCTTTGGTTCTGATTGTTACTTTTTGTATATTGAAATGTAATTTACCGTTCTACAACAGACCATACTAACTTCATTGTTATGTTTTCCATATCTTATTTTTAATACTTTTTTTTCATATTGAACATAGAGTCAAGGGATTTAATCAAATTATATGAATATAAAACAATAATTTTTCCGATTATCAATCTTCTTACCGCTTTCAAATGGGCATTGTTTTGACACTAAAATCAATAGGCAATCTCACAATAAAAAGATTTTATGATTTGTCAAGTTCTTTTAATAAGTGTAAAATTCATAATAAAATATAATTCAAATGTATTTATCATACTTAACCGATAAAATCAAGTTACATATACATAAAATACCCGTTGAGTTTATACAATTGTTAGTCTCTGATTGATGCTGTTTTTTATTATTTCATGTCATCAATCACATCAAATGTCTTTCTGTGCGTGACTCAAATCATACTAGTTTAAATTGATTACTATGGAACAAATCCCTTAATTGAGCTAATAATATCCTTATAAGCGAGTGATGTGCAGCTTCCCAGTTTGATAGTGTGTTTAAGATAAAAGGATAAACCTGTCGTGAAGATGTAAAACACCATGTCAGAATTTCAGAATGATAATTGCTAAGTTCCTCAAGACGTTTTTATGTTACGACAGGTTCACTAATTGTTTACATAGATAGTTGTAGGTTTTATGTTAATTCCATGAGTCAATCTAAGCTAGACCACTATTAAAAACCTGGATGCACTGGACAGCCGTTTCATCTTAGTATGAACACCCAAATGCCCTGGTACGACCGAGGGTGGGAATAGTCCGCTCTCCCTCTCGAAATACTCACATGAGCACGTGCATACAACCACTGCCAGGGAAGTCCTACACACTGCCTTCTCGCGGCATTACTGTTGTTTACGAAATTGAGAGGACGAAAAGCTAATGTCCGGCTCTGTAACCGAGTTGGTAAGCACGAAGGATCCACTTGGAGGAGTTGGAAAACCCTGGTTCCAAACCAATGGTGGACATGGGCTCCAGTATCCTGAAGGAACAAATGGCGTATGAACTAATCGTTAGTCATCGACTACCATGGGACTGCATTTCCTAACGTTGCTCCACTGCCTTGTTGATCAAACATTTAGGTCGAAGACTCCGGGTGTTGCCCCCTTAGGAAACCACCTTGCTATAACTGTGACGGCAACAGATTAGAGGGTATCGAATTATTGATCGGACCAAAGACGCGCAAACACGTAGAACGACCTAGGGTTCTGATTGGCCCCGCTTCCCTGTCCAGCCCAGCAATTGAGTCCAGAACGCAAGTCACAGCCTCGGATATATGAATCACTATATTTCAAACATACTTTGTTTATATACCAGTCAAGCAGACCACAACGTACCATAAAATAAAAAATAACATTGTACAATATTGACCAGTAGGAAAATGACACGTGAAATATGTACTGACCAATAAGTAAATAATACCATCTCCAAGTCCAAGAATAGCATTAGTAGGATAATTTCTGGGGTATTTTCCTGAATATCCCAACACACCTGCTTCGCTTTGCGCATCTGGGCAGTGTCACAGCCCATACATATCAAGTGACTCATGTGGCACGTTTATTCGGTGGTTCTTCGTGTCAATATTTATGTGGTCAAATAGATAAACTAAACAATGCACATACACGACCCCACATGTGGAATAAAAAGTTTCATGATGTTTCAACCTAGGATGGCTAGTTTGTAGTCTCCTGACGTCAACTGATTGGAGGGTTATGTTCTATGATAAGGTCTGAACCGAATGTAAAAAGTGGAACGGAGATTTGATTCGATGAGGAGTTTACCTTTTTTCCTATTCCTCTTTTCATCTACTCACACTGTCCATATTTTTTTCAGGTTTGTAATTATGTTGTTATAATATCTACAGATTCTAAAATTGATTTGAGATTAAGGTTCGGGTCGGTATTAGTGCACTTTTCTATGATACATGAATCATAGACCTGGTTCGGTATTGTAGACTTACTATGATTTGACTACCTAATCTATGGGATCTAACTTCGCTTTGTGTGCTGAATCATCTTATCGTAACGGTCATTAGTATTGTTTTGAAAACCTCTAATAGTTGCATTTTAGGTTGGCAATACTGTAATATATTTAATACGTAAAAAATAAGTCTACTGCATGACCAAGAATGGTTCTGCGTTGACGGCTAATGTAAATTGTAGTTTAGCTTGAAGAGTCATGTTATTAGGAACCAATGTCACTACACACTAGTGTTTTGAGTTTCGTTTTACTTAGTATTGTTTTCCGGCAGTTACCATCTTAGATTACTTCACTTCAGGTGTACCTGTGTGAACCAATTTCTTTATTCCTTGAGTGGAACTGTTTTTAGATGGATTCATAACGATAGCCAGAGGATCTTCACCAAAGCAGACGTTTATCGACTGTCCCAACTAATGTGAGATACAGCATGGTTGGCGATATTTGTCACGTATATGATGGTGTATGGTTTCCTAAGCATTATGAAATCAGATATGGGGCATTAAAAGTTAAGGAACTGCGAAACAAAAAAAGATCCACATAAGAATGGAGAACATCATAAAATAAATAAATCCAAGAATCCTTACAGAAGGATTGAATGGAATGATTGTGTAGGGAATAGTTCGAGTGGGAGGACATCTTAAACCCACTGATGTCAACGGAAGTATTGCATGCTATAGTCTAACCAAACTACCATCCGATGACATCTAATAAAATCACACGACCGTGGAACGTTGCAGGTTCACATAAATGTCTGCTGTCGTAAGGGCTATGTATCGAATCCCTAAAAGAGAATATATCCGGGGGAAGATATTATATCTCGTGACCGCCGGTTAGAGAGCAGTGACTTATCGATGGGAACAATGACGCGTAAACCCGTATGAACAACCTAGAGTTCTAATTGGCCCTGCTTTACGCCTAGCCCAGCCAGTTAAGTCCAGAACGTCAATCTCAGCCTCTGCGATATGAATCGTCATATTTCAAGCATACTCTGTTTATATACCAATCAAGCAGACCATATTGTACCATAAAATAGAAAATAACATTTGTACAATATTCGGCCAACAGGAAAATGACACGTAAAATAAATATTGACCAACAGGAAAATGATACCATTTCAAGTCCAAGGATAGCATTAGACTTAACAGGATAATTTTTGGCATATTTTTCTGAATATCCCAACAAAAGACCAATATATTTGTAGTGTGTACACATAGATATGCTAATATGGTCCGACAAACGATGATACCCCCTACCAAACACTGGCAATTACCGATGTGGGTGTGCTGGAGCCGACTTATCTGTACTATTTGTCGTCAAAGCATGAAAAGGAACCTACAAGATGCATGGATGTTTGTTTCCTCCTGAAGATGATGACATAGATTATTTAAATAGTTGACAACGGTAACTGCGACCGAATATATTTTTCTCAATCATTTTATGACTGGATACGTACAACCATTCAATTATATTAAGGTCATTTTCCTGTACGTGCAGTGTTAGAAAGGAAACACCAAACGTCCCTACAAAGTTGATCATTGGATGGCGTTAGATCCAGAAATCGGAACTCTTCGTTGTCTGTCTAAATGCTAGAATTTAAGTCACGCCTGAGTTCGATAACTCAGCAGATGGCAATATCCAATAACTTCCCTATATTAACGTAACAAACGTCCAAAATGGTGTAGAAGAAGTACTGTATGGTATTCTATCCAACTTGTGCAGACACCTCACAAAACCCAGTTGTCACAATAAGAAAAATATCCTTATCGGTTCAAGGAAAATATGTTTAAAGAAAAGTGGTAGGTTAATTTAATTTGCTCCAAACATAAGCAATCTATAGTTAATAGTAACAAACCTCTCTAAAATTAAATAGGGAACGTGTTTGAGTCTGATGAAACGGAGGCGACCAGTTCACAAAGTACCAACCAAAATGTGGCGCCTAATATAGCGAGTGCCATCAAAAAACTCATCAACATCAAGGGAACAGTAAGGATTTAGAATTTTTGAATGATATTTTGGTATTTGTACGAACTAACGACCCCTTGGTAATTGATTGCCCGCTTATTTTGAATTACAAACATAATACGTTTATTCGTGCTCATCTACTTCTACCTGCTTTAAACTGCTTTATTTCGGGAAATTCTTTGTTAGCGCATTAATTAGAATACTTCTAATTATCATAGATATAGCTATAATAAGTGCAATTAAACTGAAGAACGAGAATCAAAATGCGGACAACAATAAAAAAAGCACACGCTTGCGAAATGCATGGGACTGATCATAAGAAAAAACAGACATAGAGAGATTTTCTCTATATCTGAGCACACAAAAATTAATCTTATATCCTTTCAGATAGATATTGGATCCCATCTTATTGTAATACTCTCATTGATTCTCGTGTATCTAACGGTTATTCATTACCCATTCCGCTCCTTGTTTTGTGCACTTCGTTGTGCTACAGAAATCGCTAACTGTATAGCAGACGGTCCATCAGTCGAAGTATTTTGTATCTTTGATATAATCTGTCTTGTTTCTTAAATTCAGACTGATTATAGTGAGCACAGGATTTGTCCTGATATAATTTAATATGGGTGACTCCAAAAGATTTTGTATAGCAGCAGAGAAGTGTACTTCGGTTTGACCGAAGGAACTTTTGTTCGTTAGCTCTCAGTCCAAACCTAACACTGAAGCGTTGATCGATACACGTGCCGCTTCTAGGATTTAAGGTTCCGATTTAATGTCAGCTTGTTCACTCAATCAAGCAAATCTATTGCAGGCTAAATGACGCTAAAGGGGTGGCCTTTAATAAAAGGTAATGATTGACAAAGATCAGTTAATGGTAAAATAATAAAGATGCTAGCTTTTTCGATCACTAAATACTTTCTGTTATATTCGTGAATTTGAGGAACCGCCTCCGCTATTTTTACTGTATATTCCCGTCCGGTATTCGGATTCATTCCATCTTGTTAAATTTCACAACTCGATCTTTTTTGAGTAATTTATCTGCAGATTCTGGTGATAGCAACTTATATAGGTTTTGCTTGTCGGCAGACTTTGTCAGTCATCTATTTTCTTCAGTCATTTTGCTCATTTTTTGTCTATCCTATTACTCGTATCAAGTTTATACCAAGAAGCTTTGCAGCTTGGCCTAACTTGCACACAGCTAATAACCAGCGCCTTTCTTTTACTTGGGTATAAGAAACATTTTCATTGTACAAACCTATTTAATACCTAGCTGATACATCTCACTTGACATTTTGTCATGAAATTTTCTTGCTTTATTAATTC